TCGGCTTGTGAGCTTCGGATGTGAGGTGGGTAACTAAACCCATGAGGCTCCTTTGAAAATCTCAGCCTTGAGTGTGGGTTCATACAGGAACTAGGTGCTCTCTCCCACACAGGCCCATAGGGTCTTTGTGCTGCAATGGGTGACATAACCAGGAGCAGGGCCAACTCTATGCTTTTTGCCACCCCAAGCAACCCCCCCCCCCACCTTTTGTGTGTGAGGCTTTTACACATGTTTGCACAGCACCTGATTTGTGTTGTTTTCCACTCTGCTCAGCAATGGCTGATGATGGCTCTTTAACCTCATTCCAAGGGCATCTCTTAGATTCAGAAGAAAGCTGGGGCTTGTATTCGTTACTTGATTTACTGGGGGCAACTTGTCTTATTAAAGGAGAATCTCTTTTGCAATTGCTCTTCTTTCAGTGCATGCCCCTCCAACTTCACTTCCCACCCAGACTGGAAGAGAGATCGGAGAGTTTCACTCCTTAAAGTCTAAAACCCACGAGTGTTTCTTTCCCTGGCTTCTCCCTCCTTTTGGTAAAAGGCTCCTGGTGTCTTTCCCTTTCAACTTAATTGGAAGGAATGTCCCCTGACCTCCCCATCCCTGCTTTCCCATCACCACCCTCCTCCCAGTGACCTGCTCCGGTAGCAAATGCCTCACATGTCTAGGGTCGGGAAATATCCTACAAATCGAAAGGAGCAAGGCTGGAAATAGGATGGTGGAGTCCTCACTCTCCAACCCTTCCTGGGGCAAAGCTCCCATTGAGTGCTGGGGGCGGGGAGAGAGGCTCCAGCCCTGTGCCTTTCCATGCAGCCCTGCAATGCACGTGCCCCTGGCAGATCTTGTATTCGTGTGGATGTGCCCGCACAGGAGAGGGAGAGGAGCCAATTGTCAGGCAACCCAGCGCCTCGCGTCTTTCCCGCGACAAGGACAGCACCTGCCCGTCTCTCCGGGCCGCTGCTTGGCAGAGGGGCTGTGTTCAGGTGGGAGCACATGTGGGTCCCTGGTTGCAAGCCAGTGCCATGGGCAGCAGCTCAGGAAAGCGCTTGGTTTTCAGACAAGCAAAGAACACGCGGGAGGAGTTAGCCTGGCCTTGACTCGCCTCGTGGTGTCCAGAGTAGCGCGGAATGAGCCCGGGATGGCGTCTGGTGTTGCCTCTGTTAGGAGTGTGTTTGAGTCTGACAGTTACGTTCACGGGAGTCTTTGCTTCTCCCAAAGCCGCCTGGGTGGAAGCATCAGGGTGCTGAAGGAATACAGAGACACAGAGAGAGGAGATTGCCACTCCTGGGAAAGTGTCCTTACGCCCTGTCCCTCTGGCCAGTCACTGTTTCTTTAGAGTCATGTCGTCTTTTGACACTGCTCTGTCAGATCAGGCACCTTTGGCTAGGGCAGCCTGCTGCAGTCATACAGAGCGATTGGGGGGATTGGGCTCCAGCGGTGATGGTGGGGCAGAAATGGGGCTGGCTGCATCAGCCTGACCCTCTGTGTACGCTGCCTATTTGTACAGACAGGTCCCCCTAGGATTCCCTAGGAGCGCCCGGACTGGAATCTCTCTCTCCATCCAGACACACGAGTGTGAAATCTTCTGAACTCTGTGTTAGCCTTGCCAAGGTCCAGTCCATGTTCGCTTAGAGGACAGGGTCAATGCACAGGGCCGCCCAGAGAATTCAGGGAGCCTGGGGCAAAGGAATTTCAGGGGTCCTTTCCATAAAAAAAAGTTGCAATACTATAGAATACTATATTCTCGTGGGGGCCCCTCTGGGGCCCGGGGCAAATTGCCCCACTTGCCCCCCGGGCGGCCCTGGGAAAAATAAACATTTAAAAACCTTCTGCATCTCATCACAAACCCAGTTTTGAGAAAACTTCTTTTCAATTCGCCTTTACAAGGTATCTCTGGTTCTTAGCATCAGCTAGTGCTAAAAGGCAATAAAGCTCATTAAAAGGGTTGGACAAATATTTTCCATCAAAACTTTTTTTGGATCGAAAACTAGGGGTTTGTAAAAAGCAGAAAAATTCACGGACAATGTCTGCTTTCCTTCAAAATTTGTTGTGTTTTTTTTAATTGAAAAGCTGAAATTAGTCTGCCAAAACCTGAACATGGTTTGGGGTTTCAGAAGTGTGTGGCCAAATATTTGCTGCTTGCTGTGTTTGATTGTTTAAAGAAACAATAAAAAAATTCTGCTTAAAAAAAATCCAAAATTTTTGAACCACCTCAGCTTGTGACCAAACGCCTGAGTCCATCCAGTCAGAGATTCTTCCAGGTTTCTGATACTCTGCTGAATTCCTTGACTCATATCTGTCTCCATAACTTTGGGTTCATTTAGTTTAGAACATAAGAACATAAGAACGGCCAGACTGGGTCAGACGAAAGGTCCATCCAGCCCAGTATCCTGTCTACTGACTACGAAGTGCCCCAGAGGGAGTGAACAGAACAGGTAATGATCAAGTGATCTCTCTCCTGCCGTCCATCTCCACCCTCTAACAAACAGAGGCTAGGGACACCATTCCTTACCCATCCTGGCCAATAGCCATTAATGGACTTAACCGCCATGAATTTATCTGTTTCCTAGAGACTGGTTCCATGGGGTCCCTCACAAACTGGAGATGGTTACTGTGGGTTTGTCTTTAGTATAGCTTATGTACATACTCCACGAGCTGAACATTTGAGCTTGTTCCAGAATCTGGGATGAGCCTATATTGTGAAAACTGAAATGCTCAAAATAGCATGTGCATGTGAATGGACACATGGTGCTAAAATTAAATTAACACAGGGGGGTCTCAAACTGGGGGTCGGGACCCCTCAGGGGGTCATGAGGTTAATCCTGGGGGTCGCGAGCTGTCAGCCTCCACCTCAAACCCCACTTTGCCTACAGCATTTATAATAGTGTTAAATATATAAAAAAGTGTTTTTAATTTATAAGGGGGGGTCGCACTCAGAGGTTTGCTATGTAAAAGGGGTCACCAGTACAAAAGTTTGAGAACCACTGAATTAACCCCTCTGGAGCCTCGGGGAATGCGGGGGGGGTCTCCCTTGGTAGGGTTGGGAAGGAGGTAGGTGGTGTAGGATATTGCTCTTCTCATGGGATCCCTCCCCCATGGCTCTCTTGGCTCTATCACTGTTAATCTAAAGTGGCTAATTTGAAATGAAGCTCCCCTCCCCTGACATGACTCTCCCTATGGCACTGAAATGAAATGTAGACTATAATTTGGCATTGGAATACTAAAGGCGAGCGTCTTTACGCTTGCCTTTAGTACCTCGCAACGCCTGCTGACAACCAGGG